CCACCAGCAGCGGTCACAAAGTTTTTATGTTTTAATCTTTAGTCTTTAATTTTAAAATGTTATTATCTGAGTATTTTATATTTTAACCGAAATATTCAATTTATGCACTTAAATACACTCAAGAGCACAATAAGCCGGCCACGGTAGCCAAGCGGTCTAAGGCATATACTGTCTTCGCTCGCTCGGAAGCCGGGATCGTGGGTTCAAATCCCACTCAGGGTATGGATGTTTGTATGCGTTTTTCTGTGTCTGTGTACAGGTAGAGGCCTTGTGACGAGCTGATCACCGCCCAAGGATTCCTACCGAACGTGTAAGATCTAGAAAAGCCGAAGTGAACGGAGAAGTTCATGGAGGTAGGCCTAGGCCCACTGGGGCTGTAGTGCCAAGGGGGAAAAAGAAGAGCACAATAAGCCGGCCACGGTAGCCAAGCGGTCTAAGGCATGTACTGTCTTCGCTCGCTCGGAAGCCGGGATCGTGGGTTCGAATCCCACTCAGGGTATGGATGTTTGTGTGCGTTTTTCTGTGTTTGTGTACAGGTACAGGCCTTGTTACGATCTGATCACCGCCCAAGGAGGCCTACCGAACGTGTAAGATCTAGAAAAACCGAAGTGAACGGAGAAGTTCATGGAGGTAGGCCTAGGCCCACTGGGGCTGTAGTGCCAAGGAAAAAAGAAGAGCACAATAAGGATCCTTATTGAAGAATTAGATGCAAATAGTCAGATGCAATTCAGTAACTGAGACTGGTATCATTGTACTCCTGATGATGATCCAGTATAAGGGTCGAAACATGAAGCGTCAATAAAAGCAAATGGTGGTACGATAGTGTCTACTTTGTTTTTAAATACAGAATATTGTTGTGTAGGCTGCATACTTTTATAAATATTTATATACCGTATGGAGGCTTCTCCGAAACGTTGATATAGATCTACCAAACTACACGGCTTCCAGAAGGCCGTAAGCATCGTATTCACCAAGAGTATAAGAATCTTAAATGTCACTTGTTCCCTTTTGCTGATTGGTTGCGTCAGCAGTTGAACTATGGCTACCATAAATGAACATCGCGACTCCATGCACAGAAATGTAAGGTTGCAAATAACGCACATGAAAGCGGTGAGCTTCTAAGTGTTAAGTCACGTCCATGACCACTCCCACAGCTACAGTGAGGCGAATGTCAGCTTTCTGTTCTCTGAGGTGTGGGGGACTGACGAAATTTTGGTTGAATATGTGATTCTCTCTCTTCAACTGCGTATAGACAGCACTGCCCTCTGGGATGTGACACCGTGTAATCCGATAGATGTTCACCGATGTTTCGAAGGAATGTATTGTCTCCTTCTTCAGTGTCGGAGATGTGTTAAGCAAGTAGCGAACAAAAAGCGTCCAGACCGACTATGAGATCCACACAGCCACACAGGGGTTCTTCTGCCGGCGGTAAAACGGCAGTCCCGTGAATCTGAGCACTCACCTCAATCTAGTGCCTAGGTTAAGAATGATGAAACTTTACCTCCACTCCTCCCTACAACTTCATGACTTGGTGCTTATTTAAATAAAGGGGAAACTTTACGTTACTTTTCCATAGAGCAGGTTCCTTCTTGAGAAGGTGATGGCAGTTCATGTGCCGACCTTTATGGAACCCTGTGGTCTATCGCCATGTTCAGAAGAGCGCAACAAGTTATAGGCCCCGTGTAACATTTCATAACATGCTCTATACTATTTTACGGTAAGCATTTGTCTCCTGTCCAGCAAGAGAGTTTTCTCTTCTCCATAACGTCCAGCTATGACCCTGGGGTCGCCTCAGCCTCTAACAAAAATGAGTACCAGGAATACTCTTGGGGGTAAAGGGCGGCCGGAGCCTAGGGTTGACAATCTTGCCGCCATCTAATTGTCTTGAAAATGTGGGAACCTCAACATCTCACAACCCTACCGGCCTCCACGGCATGTTCCAGGGATACCTTTACTTACTTACTTACTTACTTACTCATGGAGCTGAGCCCTTCTGGAAGAGCCGCCAATTCTGCAGCTACTCAAGAAAATCCCTGCATTTTATAGAACCCGAAGGTTCATTACCCACTTACCATAACGTCCAGACCGGCTCTGGGACTCACCCAACCTCCTATCCAATGGGTATGAAGGGATCCCTAAGGATAAAGCGTCCGGGCCATGAAGCTCACCTCCATCTAGTACAGAGGTCAAGAATGGTGGAGCTGTACCTTCACTCCCCCTTATGTCTTCCATAGTGCTTAATTAATTACCCATAGGGACAACTTTACCTTTTACCTTACCAGACCCAAAGCTGGAGGACTACCCCTTGTCCAAGACTCCCTATTCTTTATAAGAAACACCCTGAACCGTTACACTTCACTGTACATGACTAAGTAGTAAGGTCCATCAAGTGCAAGGTGTTTATTGTGAGAATATAAAGGATTTGCTTTACATGTTTCAAACACTGCCGGCCATTATCACTACAAAGGGACACTTTACATGCATGATAAACATAAAGGGATAATTCTGGCTATACCGACTGGTGAGGGCCAGTAGCGGCCGAAATATGTGAAGGAAATTGTTTTTTTTTCTTTTCTCACATTAAATGTGTTGAGTCTGACGGACTTTGCTATTCGTTCATAAACTTATTCGGTTTTTTCACAGACCCCGTTCACATGCGGAGGCTGCCCCTGCCTCCGCAACCTGAGGTATTGTCGTGCCGCGTGACAAGGGACTCGTTTAACAAGGGCTGCAATATTAAAAACATAAATATTCAGAACCCTCTGAATGAAAATCCTGCAGCAACCCTGAAATACAGAAGCCTTATTTAAAACTTGGGGTTAAAAGTAAGCTATAAAATAAGTAAGTAAAGCTATCCCTGTAACAGGCCGTGAAGGCCCATAGGGTTGTGAGACGTTAAGGGCCCCACATTACCTTGACAATCGGCTCAAAGATGGCGGTAAGGTTGTCAGCCTTACGCGCCGGCCGCGCTTCACTCCCCAGGAAAATTATTTAATTAATTCCTGGTACTCATTTCTGTTAGAGGCTGAGTCGACCCCAGGGCCATAGTGCCGCTGGATGGATTAGGTCAAATGAAAATAATCCACTGACCTCATTGGGATTTGAACCCGCGACCTTCAGGCTTGTAGCATAGTGCCTCAACCAACTACACTTCTACAAATGGATTTAATTTTAAGGTTATAAGAATTTTCTCTGAAAAAAAAAACAGAACACTTCGTAAAAAAGAAACATGTTAACTTTTCTATCAACAGCATACGTAGTCACACTATGGCTGCTTTCGATTATTGATTTTTACAATCATTTTACCCCCAGTCCACAGGGTGGGATCTTGCAGTGATTATGCATTATATACACCTGCAGGCAGAATGAGAGTACAGTAACGCGCTGCGTATTTGTTTTTGGCGCGCTTATTAGCTTCATCATGTCTGTCTGCGTGCCCGCATGTGACAACTCGATCACTGCTAAACAGATCTCCATGAAATGTAATATTAGGGAGTTTCACTTCTTTTTTTTTTTCGCTCTCTCCAACTTTGGTTTCAATCGAACCAGAGTGACAGACACTTACATGTGTTTCTGGACGCATCTTGAACGTAAACAGCTAAATATTTAGAGCAGAGAAAAATGTTTCGAATAAATGACGTAGAGAATGGTATAACACACGTTTTACCGCATACATTTCTTTCTGTAAGTTGAGAGGATTTCGAATGTGTTAAACAGAAGGACCTAACGCGAAGAACTTCTCCGCTGTGCGTACAGTTCATAACTCGTTAGTTGTGTTTGTACAACTGAATATCTTCCAAGACTTGGAACCTTTTAAACCTCGAATCGAGTACAAAGCACTCAGTACTTTTGGAGGAAGAACATGATGAAATTAAAAGAATAAATCGACAGGAATGCCTGCAGGAACCTGAAATTTATAAAAATTATCATTTCACTTGTTTTAGCTGACTGCGTCCGACGTACAAGATTGTGGACCATACTATCTATATGCCATGAGGGTTATCACTTTATAATAAGCTATCACTGTAAGAGGCCGTGGAGGCCCATAGGGTTGTGAGACGTCGAAGCTCCCACATTGTCTAAACAATCAGCTCACAGATGGCGGTGAGGTTTTTAGACTTACACGCCGGCCATTCTTTACCCCCAGAATATTCCTGGTACTCATTTATAATAATTTTTATGCAGGGGTTCCCTGAGAGTTGAAAATTATTTCAAGTCTCCTCCAAGGTAAAAAGGTTGAGAAAGGCTGATAACCCATAAAATAATTTTATGGGTTGGCAGTGAACGAAATAAATCTTACAATGTAAGACAACAGGAGTGAAAATTCTTGTTACCTGCGTTGACAATTAATATTAACTGAAGAAGTTTAGTGGACTTGGGCGAATACGTCGTGTAGCAGTAGCAACAGGACGAACTGGTAGGGACCAGGCCGCGCCATAGCTCAAGCGGTTAGTCGCTGGCTTCCCACCGCGGCGGCCCGGGTTCGATCCTGGATCTGGTCAAGTGGGATTTGTGGTGGACAAAGTGGCGCTGGGGCAGGTTTTCTCCGAGTATTTCGGTTTCCCCTACCAATCTTCATTCCACCAATTGCTTCACAATCACCCTCACTTATCCTGGGGCTGGTAAAATAGGCCAGAATTGGCCGCAGTACAAGGGACTTAGTCCCACTCCACAACAATAAAAAAAAACAGTGGTAGGGAAGGAATTAGGAAAATATGCTAGCATGATGGCAGCAGTAATAAAAATTCCAGGATTTCTTGACCTTGGCCCTAGACGGAGGTATGCAGCGGCTTCATCCCCAAGGAATGAACCCTGGATACAAAATCGACGGGCTGCTGCTTAGACCATGGCTACTTCATGACTAAAAGAGTGAAGAAAATGAGCCGCGCTCGTCGAGTTACACTCGTAAGGCGACGCATGTGGGATCTGTGGTGGACAAAGTGCTTCGGTTTTCCCCTGCCAGTTCTCTTTCCACTTATGCTTCATTCGGAGCTGGTAGAATGGTCCCGTTTGCAGACAAACCCCATCCCATTGCAAGAGCAGGGGAAGAGCCACTTCTAGACGTTGTAGTTCAGTAAGTGCAATTACAAACAGGCTAATTTTGCATTTCAGAGTTCAACAAGAAACGTACTGTGTGTTCAACCTCAATGCTGCAAATCGTTTCTCCAGCCAGACCGTCAATATGTTTTATCATGTCCCCTTGTGCTAACTTTGGACAGTGTAACTTACTGCAGGTAGAATAACAGCATTAGAAAGCGCGTAGGGTTTGTCTGTTTTCCATTAGCGTTGACAATTTTTGTTTAAAATATTCTGCATTTTTTAAACGAATGAGCATGTACGTGTACATGAAATGATATTTTACCATAGGAAGTTAACTCTGAAATAAATTGAAGTGAAAGCAAAGTTTGTATTGTATTCTGTAAAAGGTAAAAAACGTAAAGCTATCCCTGTAGCACATCGTGGAGGCCCATAGGGTTGTGAGACGTCGAGTTCCTCTAGACAATCTGCTCACATACAGCGGTAAGGTTGTCAGACTTATGCGCTGGCCGCCTTTTACCCCCTGAGTAGACCCCAGGGCCATAGTGCGGCTGGAAGGATTAGGTAAATTGAAAAAATCCATCTCATCGGGACTCGAAACCGCGACCTTCTGGCTTGTAGCATAGTGCCTCAACCAACTACGCTGCCTCGTGCCTCGTATGTATTCTGTTTATGTCTTATTTAACAGCACTGACAACAGCTTAAACTATATACTGCTGAATGGTAAGATGATATTAAATATTGGATTGAAATGCATGTGAAAGGAAGCTGACATGGCAGAACATTTGTGATACTCTTTCGGTAGTTTCCTGGAAGGACTGAGGCAAAATAAAAAAATCATTAGTGAGGATAACCAGTTTGAACTTGTGACCTTCAGTGTTACGAAGTTGGCATGCTACCCGCTCGATCGCGACTTTGGGCGCAAAGTTTGCAGGAAAGCAGTCAATTAATGCGGACGGCAGTAATTCCAAACTTTTGAAACTATTGCAGGAGGAAACAGCATTCGAATAGTCTTGGATTTCAACATTTCTTTCCATTTGGACTCCGATCTTCTGCAGAAGGAAACCACGTAAGCGAGACACATCCTCGTTCCATATTGAAACATTTAAATATAGCCCTATCGCTATTCTGTGAGCAGGGTGTAAATATCAGAACATTGAATTACTAAGAGCTTAAAAATAAGATTTGATTTTTGAACAAGATATGTTTATTAAATGAGGGCACGCGGTAATGTAAGTGGTTGAGGCACTATCCTACAAGCCGGAAGGTCGCCGGTTTGATTCTCGAGGAGGTTACTGGATTTTTCAATTAACCTAATCCTTCCAGGTGGACTATGACCCTGGGGTCGACTCAGCCTCTAACAGAAATGGGTACCAGGAATCTTCCTGGGGGGTAAAGGGCGGCCGGCGCGTAAGGCTGACAACCTCACAGCCATCTGTGAGCTGATTGTCTAGAACATGTAGAAGCCTCGAGCCTATGGGCCTCCACGGCCTGTTGCAGGGAGAGCTTTAACTTTTTATGTGAATTAAATTTTAATATTTCAGATTCTAAGGCTCAGAAGCAGGAAGAAACATGGAGGTACGCCCGTAGCGTAGTCACAGCGCGCAACACTACTGTTGCCCTACGATTTGCTCTGGAACCTGAACATTCAGTTACGCCATCACAGAAGCCCTCACCGAGAGGACTGGCCACGGTAAGACTTAGCTTCGTATTCGAAAGGTGCTCCGTCCGGATCGCGGCTACCTCGACTCAGTTTTCAGTGATTATCCGACTCTTCTCCTGGCAAATGTCGGGATGTTATCTCGATTAGGCCACGACCGCTTCCTTTCAATTGTATCAATCAACACCATATAGTGTGGATGCTGTCAGCATCGTTACACATGAACAAATGCCTCCCATTGAACCCTATCCTGATGTAGTTCAGTTCAGGTTACAATGGTCATTTCACACGAAGCCTTCCAACTGAAATGTGTAAAGCTATGCAGTTCTTGTCTGCTATGTTCCCCGCTTACCTCGCCTTCTTGGCATCAAGTTGTTCGTGTACTTTAACTAAGCACCAAGCAACTTAGACGTGTTGCGGAGTATAATCTTATAACTTTAGTGCTAATTGGGGGTGACTGGCCAGCTTGACGTCCCAGCCGCTTTAACCAGCACCTAGGGACAGGAGACTGAGGAACTAGTATGGCTGAAAGCTGAAGAACTGAGATTATCGGGGTCTTGTTGTGCGGTTCTCTCCATCCTTGTCCCTTCCACATGCTTTTCAGCAATTTATTTCCCAATAAGGGAAAGGTAAAGTTGTCCATGTGGTTTATGAATTAAGCACTTTGTCATTCAGATATATGGGTGAGTGGAGGTATAACTCCACCATTCTTTACTTCGGCACTAGCTGTCAGCTTCACACCCCGGCCCCTTTACCTGTGGAGAAAAGCCCCCCTGTGCCCATTGGATAAGAGGCTGGGTGGGCCCCAGATCCGGTATGAACGCTGCGGAAAAGAGACAAATCATAACCCTGCCAGGAATCGAAGCCGGGACATCCAGCTCATAGCCGTGCGGTATATCGACCGAGCTCTTCTGACTCTCTTTCTCTCTCTCTCTCTCTCTATCCTGTTGCTCTCAAATATCCTTGCAGATTGTGTATACTTTCCCAAAATTGTTTAACATTTCCCCGGGCTGTATGCTTATTTTCTCTTTAGAATACTTTCAAGGTATTATTGTGAATAAAGAACTACTTGAGAAGAGGCAAGGAAACAGAGAAACTGGTCTCCACGTGGAGTCTTCTGATAACACAGACAAGTTTCTGTGGATAACCGGCACCATGGCGTAGGTAAGTAGCTTTCACTTTTCAACGCAAGATTGCATCTCTCCCTTGCATCTGATGCATTTCACTTTAGTTTCCCTTTTCAAATATGAGAAATAAGAAGAGGAGTTGCGAAGTAGCGACGTTTGTTATTTGTAACTAACATTGTTTGCTTGATTTATGAAATCCATAGCGGATCAGAGAAAATGTGTACATATTTTGTGTAGTGTGACGAGGTAAGAGAGTTAAGCATAGCGTCTGGCCGTGCCATAGCTCAAGCGGTTAGTCGCTGGCTTGCCACCGCGGCGACCCGGGTTCGATCCCGGGTCTGGTCTAGTGGGATTTGTGGTGGACAAAGTGGCGCTGGCGCAGGTTTTCTCCGAGTACTTCGGTTTCTCCTGCCAATCTTCATTCCACCAATTGCTCCACCATCACCCTCACCTATCATCTGGGGCTGGTACAATAGGCCAGAAGTGGCCGCAGTACAAGGGACTTAGTCCCACTTGTGAGCAAAATCGATATGTATTGACAGACGTTAGCAGCATTCTCCAGTAAAATATTTTGCGAAAATATTGTGACATGACCCCTGATGGCCGGAATTGTCCACTGCTACAAAACGGCTCGCCACGAAATTAACACACGTTCCTGCAACAACGAAAAACGCGGAATAGTCCGTTGCTAGACAATGGCTCCCTACGAAATTAGCAAGTCGCTATGCACGTTTCATAGCAACGGATAAACAGAGAATATAACAGAGGAACTGTTCGAGGTGGTGATCTATATTCAGTTCGTCTGTAAATTATAATAGGAAACACATGATTGGTTCGAGAGTTAATTCACAATGGAGCCGTCATTCGGGATTGATTCATTCGTAAGAGGGTTCAGTTCAGTTTAGAAGAGTTCGTTCGGAAGTGATTCTGCGTTCGTCATTCGTTCTTAGTGATTCGTAAGTGACCGACTCGTAAATCAGAACCAAGTCCATCGCAGTGGAAAAGAAGACACTCGTAGTCCAGTAAGGGAGGGAGCGATTCGTAGGCAATCACTGATTGTGAACTGTTATAATTGATTGCAATTGTAAAGAAGTGTCAATAAATGCATTCATCCAATTTAGAACCGTTATTATTAGTCACTGAAACCCCGGACACGTGACATGTGTTCAGCGGTTCTGGAAATACTGCATGCAGACAGACACAGTGAATGTAATAGGCGTATTTTTTAAATATTTTGTTGCAAACGCACCAAAAATTTTGATGTTGGTGTAGACGTTAGATTGAGGTAGGCATCTGCTTGTTGGTGTAAGTGCGGCCACATGTCATATGAGTGTGTCACTCAATTGCTGAAGTTGGTTGAAGGTCGTGTAGACCGAAACAATGCATTTCGGAACAAGTGTTAGTATTTTCATTGTAGATCAGCTGTGAAGTTTAACAAGTCGCGTAGGCCTGCCGAAATCTAAGCACCGCTGTGTGGAGGCGTGTAGAGCCTTATGCAGAGGAAGTAGATGTTCCAGGTACTGTCAGGAGACTCGATAGCTCAGTCGGTATAGCTGTGGACTACGGGATGGAAGACCGTTTTCAATTCGCGGAAGGGCAGGAAATTATTCTCTGCTCCACAGCTTCCAGACGGGTCCTGGGGCCTACACAAGCTCCTATCCGAAAGGTACTGGCAGCTCTTTCCCCGGAGGTAAACGGCCGAAATACGAAGCCGACCACTCACCCCCATCTAGTGCCGAGATCAAGTAATAGTGGAGCTATTTCTCCCTTCCCCCATACATCTTCATGGCGTGGTGCTTAATTAAGTGAACACAGGGACAACTTTACCTCTTTCTTACTGAGTACTGCCATGTTATTGTTCTTTGTGATTTTAACAACACTGGCAATAGGGCACACTTGTATAGAGCGTCGAATCAGAGGATGACTGCTGGGTCCGAGAATATGAAAGCATGTACAAATAAGCGGTAGTGTCCTACTTTGAGATAGGCCTACTATCCTGGTATGTGCCTGGAGGAACTGAGGATACCCACGAATGGCTTCAGTCTGTATTGATTGTTACCGTGCCAAGATTTCAACATGGGGCCTCTTGAATACGAGGCAGGCGAGCTACCCACTCCATGGCCCCTTATTAGAGTCTTATCCTGTATCTAAATGGCTCTCGTGTGCTGTTTTGGGAAACAAAATCTAAAGTTACTTAAACACTTCCTTTTCTCAGTCGCAGAAGTCACAGAGCGTTACGTGTGTTGAAGAGCTAATCATGAATGGTAAGAGCCTTGAAGAAGGCGGTCGTAGCATTTTCTGAGTTATTCGCCTGCAGGAACTGAGGAAAAACACCACAAATTTCGGTCATGAAACTCAGTATCCGAGTGAGATTCACACCGGGTACTTACCGAGTAATTAATTAGCCGTTACGTTTCAAGCATCACCGCTATACAAGCCGGGTAATTGTCCCGTAGATAAGACTTATAACACTTGAAATTCTGGTGACTGAGGATGACAAATTGGAATTTTAAAGCACTACACCCGCCTGCTAAGTTTAGAGCTAAGCCAGCAACAAGATTGTGTTCCGCAGACCAAAGCCATGTCGTAAGTGGGTTTCTGGACTTCAGAACATTTAATTCCAATCGCTTCTTAAAGGATGTTCAAGTTACGTAAATTAAGCAAGTGAGACATGACGCCTGCAGTCTTGTAGGGAGTTACCAACGTTTCGGATAACCTGCTGCTCCATCTTCATGATATTCTTACACCCTTAAAAAGGAAGCAACATTTCCTCCGAAGCAATTGTAAATATTTATCCCACTACACGCAGTCAATTCCAAAAGACAATAATATTCATGTTGAGAAAAGTAAACATAACCTAACAACTGTCTCATTGTTAAATGTACTATTTTTATCTGCTATATACCAGAAATATTCCTAGGGATAAAGGGCGGCCAGCCTGCCTGCGCATAAGGTTGACAACCTCTCCGCCATCTGTGAGCCGACTTTCTAGACAAAACGTGGGAGCCTCGATGTCTCACAACCCTGTGGGCTTCCGCAGCCTATTACAGGGATAGCTTTACCTTCATGATTCTAAGAACCATCAGCAACTCCCTTTGTACACTCCAGCAGCAAAATGTACAATCTTTGTTATATAAACTGAGCAATCTATTTCTCCTATAGATATAACTTAAATACGTAGTTGAGACAGATGAAGGAAATGTTCTCTATACTTTATCAAATGTCCACATAGCAGCTTGTCGCCGCTGACTCGCCTACAGTTTCCAGTGTAATGCTGCAGAC